AGAATAAGAGTCAGGGGGCTGGAGAGATGGCTCAGAGGTTAAGAGCACTGGCTGCACTTCCAAAGGTCCTCAGTTCATTTCCCAGGAACCACATGGTGGCTCACAACCATCTGTAATGAAATATACTGCCCTCTTCTGGCCTGCAGGGACATATGCAGGCAGACCACTGTATACTTAATAAAAAATAAATCTTTAAAAAAAGATTAGACTCAAGGCAGACAGAATTTCACCTCAGAGCCACCTGGCAGACTCTGGAGGATAAGCACAGCTCTGCCCCCGGTCTCTAGACTTGGGACAAATAATTCCACCCAGGAGCCTGCCCAGCACCTATCACACCAGGCAGTCTGGGCACCTTTATGCTAAGTACAGAGTGGCAAAATGGGAGTGGGGGGGGTGCAGGATACTGCACGTGCTGAGGAGAGAGACAGATCTGAAGAGGTGGAAGGAAGAGAAGAATGAACTGAAGTACAGGCCAAACTTGCGACTCAGGGTCAGATGTCTTGATCTGGGCTTCTTCCAAAGGTCATTACTTGGTTCGTGACCCTAATGCAGATGTGGGGTTCTGTTGCCACTCAGGTTAATACTGAGGACTGCAGTCCAGGCTGAATCCTGAGACCATGCCGATCTTACAGGGTCTAGATGCCACACAGAGCCATACAGAACTGTGCGGCCTATAATGTAACGCAGGGTCATGGCGTCATCTAGTCCTAAATGTAGAAGTAGCCGGTATATGTATCTGTGGCCCTACCACAGCAAGGGTCTGTGCTGATGTCTATGGCTTCTATTACCATCTAAGATTGAGTGGACCACACTGTTTCCCAGGATCCCGGCCTCCACCTGTGGTTTTCTTGAAGCCTGAGGGCTATGCTGCTGTTGCACCCATCCCAACCTGAGTAACATACGCTGTCACCCAGGGCCAGGGCCTCATATGATCCTGTGCTGCCATTGGGGCTATGTCTTGTTCCTTGGCTCTGCCTGGACCTACACTGATGTTCATGGCTCCTGAAACCACTGAATGCAGTGAGGATAGGGCTGTGTAGAATTGGCCCTAACTCTAACTACAACACTTCGGAGAGCAGAACCCTGCACCTCCCTCGGGCATCACAGGAAAACTGTTCCTGCAAGTGCGAATCCGCATAATCTGTCCCTGAATATGCAAGAGTGGAGGAGCTAGCTAGCCCCTTGGTCTGTCAAGCTGTGGTGTGTGGGAAGAAGAAATACCCTCCTTGTTCCTTGCACTTCATCCCTTCACACCTACAGCAGGGTAGAAAAGCTGGTCCCAGGATCTTGAAAGTGGGAGAGTTGATCCTACCCCTCGCTGGCTGTAGCACTCAGAATAGTGCACCCTTGCACCTACCCTGGGCAGCATAGTAGAGCTGACCCCATTGACAAAGGCACAGGTAATCCAGCACCACGAATACACTTGGGAGATCTGACCTCATCTTTTGTCTGTCGTATGGTGGAGGGAGCAATGGAGGGATGATCTCACCCCCTTGTAGTTTTTGAAG